CATGATCTGCTAAAATCTAGCAGATTTTTAATTAGCAACCAAGATGTGGTCAATAAATATTTGATATTTGGAAGATTTTTATATGTTAATTTATAATTTGCATTTTGTATATGATTGTCATAAAGGAATTCAAGATAGTTAATTAGAAATCTGCTAGATTTTAGCAGATCACGTGACCAGCATCTACCGGTGTCTTTTCTCCCCAAGAGGAAGGACTCTGGGTACGAGGTCGCATAAATAACTGTAAAAATGTACTTTAGTAAATGAATAATTTATCAATACACTTGATCTACTTTGTGAGTATTTTTTCCAATTAAAATTGATGCAACAATAAAACAAGAAGATGTCTATTTATATATTTATTAAATTGATCTGAGATCCCAACAATAACATGCTACTTAGGGAGTGGTCATTATTTATTGAGGGGTGGTAAATGGGAGGGGGGGCAAACAAAGTTTTACCCAAACAAAGTTTTAACACAGAGAAAGGGGGGGGGGGGTAAAAAAGTTTTTGAACTTAAATACCATGTCTAGAGTTCTGGTTTCTATAATCACAAATAGCAAAAAAGAAGACTCTGAAAATGCCATTTCCAATGATCTAGAGACTCAAAATTTTCAAAATTTCCCTGCTCTGTGCCAACTACGATAGTGCCTTGTGGGAGTGGTGCCCACTAAGTTTAACAAGCTTCCTACCCCCTGTGTGACCCAGCTGTGGTATTTACATAAACATACCATGCAAGTACACTTAACTGATCAGATTCGGTCTATCAAAGCACAATGTAACGCTGTATATCCAAAAATCTGTTTCAGAAAATGCTCACATTTCAGTCCTGGGGAAAAATACAAAAAAATTTTCCCCAGACCCCCCCTACTAATACATACAATACCACACCAAACTTTTTGTCACCAACAACCATCTGTCATCTCTCCACACTCAGTATAGTATGGTCCCTTTTTGTAGATGCCCACCCCCCAGACAAGTTCTTAAAAAAAAGCCCTGTGTTCAAATCATTTCACTGTATGAAGACCGACCATGGGTTAGGGTTATGGTAGGACAAATGTTGCATTGCAGTAGTAACACATAATATATATTTTTTAATCATATATGGTTGAATCATATTCACCAGGGAAAAACATCATGAGCTAAATTTAAACAGATTGTCCTAATATCTAACTTTACCTGCAATGCACGCCTGTTTCATTGCTGTTAATTTTTCAATCCACACTGGGGGGGGGGGCAGAAAAGTTTCTATTTTAAGAGGGGGGAGGCACAAAAAGTTTGCCTTCAGTCTGGAGAGGAGGGCTCAACGAAGATTTTAATCCTTATTTTCCCCATTTACCAACCCCCCTCCCCATAAATAATGACCACTCCCTTAATTTGTTTATATTAATTATATATGATACATAATGATGATACAACAAAAACTTGTTTTATTGCTTTAAAACAAGTGAAGCTCTCTGCTGGTTTGAAATGGGCTGTTATGACACTGATTTGTCCATGCTGAGGATTCCGTAGCTCGATTTGCCACAAAAACCCAGATATCTATGCAAAAACCCCAGGATCAGGCGATCAGTTCGTCTTGAAATAGGTACACGATCCAGATATAATATAAATCGTACAGATATAAATTCTACAAAAATATTAAAACAACTCCTAAGTCTTCTAAATAATGTTTTAGCACTTTTACAAAAATTCATTGAAAATATCATCTTTGATGGCGTAAATTCTTTCCACGGTATTAGACGCCATTTTAGCGAACGTCGATTTGATAGCAGTCACTTCAACGGTCAATATCTCGAAAACTGCCGGGGGATCACTGGGATCATTCCAGCAGATTTAAAGCTTATATATTTTTCTTGGCGACTACCAAAAATGAAGAAAATCAAACCATGGGAATTCTAGATATTTCATTTTAAACATCGTAAACATATTTAGACTTGAGTCAACACGTTGCGGGGAGTCGACTAACTTCAAACGTCAAAATAACATTGAAAATAAAGTTTACCTCAGAGATTTTTGCAGAAATCGCCAGATCTTTAGTAGTAGTACTACAACACTTGAGATTTTGCAAGAAAATTTTAATATCAATATTTTTTTCCGATTTATTTTTCGTCGAATGCAAATTTTTCTGTCCAAATTCTGCAGATAACACGATGGAAAATAGAGCGATCTCATTGGTCGAGAGCTCACGTGATAACTCGCTAATTAGCTGTCCAATCTCCTCTGGGTTGAAAGCTCGATCATGCGGCGCGCGAATATTCAAATATTTCGGCCTCATTGTGTGTTATCTTCATATTGTGTTACTGCTGTTGCAAATTATAGCGTGTTATTATATTTGAAATGCGAACACGCATGACATGACACATGCATGTGACTTGGGAACTATTTCTGTTAATTTATTATTATGTCTAGTTATTAACTTCTGAATTCAAATGTTTCATTTGTGAAATGGTTTATAATTTGCCAATAAATTAATATGCGGCTGTTTCATGCTACCAGTAAATAATATTCGGATAAATATTTGCCAATTAATTAATTTGGCGAAATACTGTACTCGGCCAGCCCTAGCCTGTGACGGTAGACCAGGCTCAAAACGTGTGTCTATCGACCGTGTTATACTGTAAGAGTGTTTTAGTTTAAGAATATATGTTATTCTAACTGCACATGCAAACAGTTTTAACACCACCAAAAAGGTGCTATTTTAACACCCGTGCTTTGTGCTAATTTAACACCACCAAAAAGGTGCTATTTTAACACTCGTGCTGCGTGCTAATTTGACACCACCAAAAAGGTGTTATTTTAACACCCATGTTCTCACTCCACAAACAGTGCTAATTTAACACTGGGGTATACAAATTCTTAACACCACTTATGGTGTTATTTTAACACCAAGAATTTAGCACCAGAAACCGGTGTTATTTTAACACCACCTGTCCTTAAGTGGATGTTATTTTAACACCTCTAAAGTGGTGTTAAACAATTTGAGTGTTAAATTAACACTTTGCACAATATTTTTACTTATGTCGGGTTAAATTAGCACCGAAAAATGGTGCTAAAATAACACCTTTGTTTAACACCACCAGTTGGTGTTAATCTAACACCACCCGAGGTGCTATTTTAACACCCTGAAATTAACAGTGTATTAACTGAAATATTAGTTAAGCTTAGGGAAAACCATGCCTATGACTGGGAAATATCCCTCTGTTGGGCAGTTGCTGCCAAGAATGCTTTAATTAATAATATCTCTTTCTCGCCACAGGCCATATCGCGTCGATCCTGAGCGATCGACGGCTATAAAATTTCATACCTTCGGTTCAGTGCATGCTATGAAGACAGAAATACCACCAATCGATTCAGAAATAAACGATAGACTAGTTCCAAACGATAGTTATAGTCATTATTAACATTGTAACGATTTATGGGCCTTTGAAAGTCAAACACGATAATATTGTATCAAATTACGCAATTGTCTGAACAAAATATAGACTAGCCATACCTTTCGCTGAAAATAACTTCGGCCCCTTCGCACATATCGTCTTTGTTATAGTCTTGTTCGAATCCCCATCAAAAACACTATTTAGAGTGTTATTTGCAAGCCTGTATCTTCAAATCTGTATCTTTTATCAATATATTTCCATTTCTTGTCCGACTGTGAGCTCGAAGTGAGTTAATCCCAACCGGAAATACGTCTGAAAACCGTCAAAACAATGCGACGTTTGTATCATATGACCCTGGAAAGGCCAGAAATGGATTCGCAAGGTCAAATTGCACCTACACGCGTGAGTTTGACGTCATACCGGCCAACAGGAGCTTCTTATTGGCCAATTATTGCGCAATGTTCGCAAGTGCGAGTAAAACGTACTAAAACCCGATACCTTGAAAAATTCAAAATAAATATTTCTAGTCGGCGTATACATACCAAACTTTCTACACGAAAGCGCTTGGATACAAGAGTATTTTACACATATAGCCGTTCAGAAAATGACGAAAAGTTCAAGAGAATTCAAGATCTTGTAGATATAAAATCTAGAATCTTTGGCCAAGCGGTGAGTAAATATATGATTGTTTCGGTTTGTGTAATGCTCTGACGGCACTTGACCCCCCGTTCGAAAGGTTATTTTATTAGGATTTCAATGGTGGCTTTTATTTACAAGGGGGGTAAATACTCGCCGAGATATTTATATTAGAAAAATTGTGTCGTAATCTGATGCGAAAGGGACCAAATAGTCTTTGTCAGAAATCCCAATTTGGCTTCTGCTTTTAGTGACAAGCTACCTGCACTTGAGGGGCAAACAACTTCTGAGAATGTTGCTTCACACATTAATGCAATGTATGCTGCCAGAGAAGCATTTGTCAAGGCTGAACGGTCTGAGAGAATAAGGAGAGCATTGCGTAAGAATACCAGAAATACTGATGAGGTATATAAGTCTGGTAACAAAGTATATTATAAAAGACCGGATGAAACAAAATGGAAGGGGCCTGGTGTTGTTATTGGAGTAGAAGGGCCAGTTGTGTTTGTGAGACATGGTGGGTCTCTAGTGAGAGTTCACAGATGCAGGCTACAAAAAGTGTGTAGTGATGATAAAGTAGTTTCTAGTGGTAATACTGAAGCTGTGAGTTCACCTAGACCTTCAGTTGATGAAGTTGAAAACACTTCAAATGATTCTTGCAAGTTGAATAGTGACACATCTGCAGAGACAGGGTCTGAGACAGATAAAAGTGAGGGATGCAGAAAGTCATCTAGAGTAGTTAAAAAACCTGATTAGTTAAATGATTATGTTGAAGATGTTGATGAAGTCATGCTTGTAAGTGATATTGATGTGAACAAAGCAAAAATGAGAGAATTAGAAAGTTGGGGAGAGAATGAGGTCTATCACGAGGTGCCTCACCCAAAGTACTAAGAAACGCCTTAGAAACTGGTATATTGTTTGCTTAAATAAAATAGTGGAATTTGTTAATATTCTTTTTGTTGATGTAGTAGCACGTGACTGAGTCTGCGCAGGAGAGTGGCGCAGTGGAACTCAACATGGCGAACATGTGGTCACGCTGATAGAGTTGTAAAGTTGTTCATATTAAAAGTTCATATTACAAGTTATCACAGCGTAAAGTTTGATTTATTTACAATTACAATGTTTGTACATTAGAGATTTAGAGGCACTGATAACTCAATAATAAATAGGCACTAATACAAACTCTGAGCCAGTGCACCCAGCATCCTCAAATTGGGAATAATTTGTAAATTTAAATATTTGTGTATAATTCATAATTTATCCTATTCCAATACAAAATGCAATAATATAGAACACACAATTTATGAAATAAATGTAAAAAAGGTATTAAAAACTTTATTATGTAATATTTACATGGAATATCGTGGTTGATGTTGTAGATTTATACTTGAAATTTCAATTTTCGAACGAGCAATGTTTCGCTTTATGTTAATTTTTTTACTCTGTTCGCCATTCTTGCTTATTTACAAATACAAACAGTGTCCATTTCTTCTTTTGCTCTGGCCGAAGATATTCGCCCTTCAATATCCCAACAATTCACTTTGTCATCTAACAGAATTTGCAGGAAACACTTATCCGTTCGCAGAAATTTGTGTGCACGGTAGATCGAAAATCGCAGAGCGCCATTCAATTCCCCATAAAATTAGTCTTCTTTTCATAGTAAACTTCTATAATCAATTAAATAAAGAAAAAAATTTATCGCGTTCGTACCTCCCAGAGGACAATAGAATTTCACTTTCAATTGTTTCTGACAAGCGGAAATTAACGTAGCGTGTATAGTGAGCACCGTTTTGCGTGTACGGTAGATGGAAAATCTGAAACGCCCATTCTGTTCTAATATAAATTCTATCTAAAACGGTTTAGTTTGCCTCTTTCAATCGAAAACTGGCCGAAGATTTCGCCCTTCGTCAATATCCCAACAATTCACTTTGTCATATAATGGAATTTTCAGGAAACACTTATCCTTTCGCAGAAATTTGTTTTCACGGTAGATGGCAAGTCGGACAGGGCCATTTAATTCCCCATAAAATTACGCTTCTCTTCATATAGTAAACTTCTATATTCAATTAAATATAGAAACATTTTTATCGCGTTCGTACCTCCCAGCTGACAATAGAATTTCACTTAGTTTTCTGACAAGCGGAAATTGCCGTCTAGCGCAAACTGGGCACAGTTTTGTGTGCACTGTTAATTTCAGGGTGTTAAAATAACACCTCGGGTGGTGTTAGATTAACACCAACTGGTGGTGTTAAACAAAGGTGTTATGTTAGCACCCTTTTTCGGTGCTAATTTAACACGACATAAATAAAAATATTTTACAAAGTGTTAATTTAACACTCAAATTGTTTAACACCACTTTAGAGGTGTTAAAATAACACCCACTTAAGGACAGGTAGTGTTAAAATAACACCGGTTTCTGGTGCTAAATTCGTGGTGTTAAAATAACACCATAAGTGGTGTTAGGAATTTTGTATCCCCCAGTGTTAAATTAGCACTGTTTGTGGAGTGAGAACATGGGTGTTAAAATAACAACTTTTTGGTGGTGTTAAATAAGCACCAGCACGAGTGTTAAAATAGCACCTTTTTGGTGGTGTTAAATTAGCACTGAGCACGGGTGTTAAAATAGCACCTCTTTGGTGGTGTAAACTAAAACACTTTTACAGTATAACACGGTCTATAAACACATGTTTTGAGCCTGGTCTACCGTCACAGGCTAGGGCTGGCCGATTACAGGTATTTCGCCAAATTAATTAATTGGCAAATATTTATTCGAATATTATTTACTGTTAGCATGTAACAGCCGCATATTAATTTACTGGCAAATTATAAACCATTTCACAAATGAAACATTTGAATTCTGAAGTTAATAATTTTAGACATATAAATAATAAATTAACAGAAATAGTTCCCATGTCATGTGTCATGTATGTTTATGCATTTCATCATACAGATTGGAAACTGGCAAAATTGGACCTCAAAATATCGCATTTCAAATATTATAACACGCTATAATTTGCAGCAGTAGCAACACAATATGAAGATAACACACAATGAAGCCGAAATATTTGAATATTTGCGCGCCGCATGATTGAGCTTTCAACCAATGAGGGTAGCCCCGCCGTGAAATCTAATACCTTCTTCTCGCATCAATACTGGTATTTATATAGTTTGTGGTCGTTTGTATGGGAATATATCTGCTATTGTGGTGCGAGGGTTCTATTAGGATTGCTTCTGAGTGTCAGTGCGATGGAAGCGATACAAACTGATTAAAATGGCTTTAGTATATTCATAATTCAAGTATAAAGATGGCTTTAAAACAGTGTGATGAATAAGCGAGCAAGGTCTGGCCGCCAATGCAATTCAAAACGTGTGGTTCACAGCGTCAATGCTTTAGAATTAGTTCGCCTGTAACTTCAAAGATGTGATAAACGTCGAAAGGAATAAGGTGAGTTATTATAATACTGCGAGAATTATAGTGATTGTTGTCTATTGCTTGTTATTTACTGCATTCCAACCCACGACTGTAAATAATATTTGTCAGTTGTTGGGTGGATTATCTAGCAACAAAGCCACCGGCATTTATAAGATATCATGTAAAATTATTAAGATGGCTACAACAGCCATAGCAGATTCACTGACATATATTTTTAACCAGGCTATTGCTTTATCCTCTTTTCCCGATGAATGGAAAATGGCTAGAGTTGTACCTCTTTACAAAGGTGGTCAGCGAAATATACCAGGAAACTATAGGCCCATTTCGGTTCTACCAGCCATAAGTAAAGTAATGGAACGAATCTTATATAATCAACTTGACAACTATTTAACTGAATTTAAATTACTAAGTAGCACCCAATTTGGCTTTCGAAATTCTCACTCTACAGCAACAGCACTTTTAGACTGTACCAATGAGTGGTATGTAAATATAGATAAAAAAATGTTTAACTTGGTGGTTTTCATAGACCTAAAAAAAGCATTTGATACTGTTGACCATAACATTCTGCTTAAAAAGTTGAAAGGCTATGGAGTAAAGGGACAAGCTCTTAGCTTACTAAAATCATACCTTTCAAATCGACACCAGAAGTGCCAAATAAATAGATTTGTTTCATCAGAACAATTAATCAGATGTGGTGTACCCCAGGCTCAATTTTAGGACCATTGCTGTTCCTGTTGTACACCAACGACTTACCCGAGTGTCTTAATAACACAAGACCTCGACTATTCGCTGATGACACAAATCTTACAGCCTCTGGTAACTCCATAGCTGATGTTGAGCTTGCATTAAACTCTGATCTAGACAACCTAAGAAACTGGTTAATTGCCAATAAACTTAGCTTGAATGTAGCAAAAACAGAATTTATGCTAATTGGCTCTCCACAAATGATAAGAAATGTTTCAAATTTTCAACCAAATATTATAATCGAAAACAAACAAATCAGACAAGTTAATAAAACCAAAACTTTAGGAACAACAATTGACCACCACTTAACTTGGAAGACTAATACTGAAAATATTTGTAAAAAAATAACATCGGGAATTTCAGCTCTACGTCGTATCAAACCATTTATTGCCGATAGAAATACGCTTATTCCTATATACAATGCTATTGTACGTCCCTACTTTGATTATTGCTCTGAAGTTTGGGATGTATATGGCGAAACACAATCTAAACGACTGCAAAAACTACAAAACAGAGCTGCTCGAATTATTTCAAATTTCAGCAATGATGTAGATCATTCTATTGCTTTAAATGCCTTAGGCTGGGAGCCACTTGATAGAATAAGAAAAAAGGCAAAAGCAAGAATGATGCACAAAACATTAAACAAAATAGGCCCTGAGTCTCTCACAAACCTCTTCAGGTATAAGAGTGATATAACAAATTATCAACTTTGAAACATTTCAAGTGGTCTTGTCTACCACAACCACGTACCAATAATATGAAGAAGAGTTTTATGTATGATGGTGCTAAGCTCTGAAACTCTATTCCAAATGAAATTAGAGAGAGCAAATCCCTATATCATGCTTCCAAAAGAAAATTGCCGCTCACATTTTTAATTAGACAACAAATGTTGTCATGTACAATGTAAATAGATTGTTATATTCCCATTACTTACTTTAATACCTGCATGCCTAATACTAATTCTAATACTCTGTAAATAATTTTCTAAAGTTTATACTTCTGTAATGTCTTTTATACACGCCCCCTGTGGAAATCAGCTTCGGTTGACGGGGTTAGCGTGGTTAAATAAAGTTTATCTATCTATCTATCTATTATGCTGAGGCTATTCTCATTGCCATCACTGCAAAAAATCCATTTTTGCTTTGAGTTATTTTAACACATAAATTTGCGTAAAATGCAATGTTTACTCAGTTTAAGAGTATTTTTACTCGAATATGCTGAGTATACTCAGTAAACTCAAACACCTGAGTAAAATATTTTGAGTAAACCACTATTGTTTACGCAGTTATAATCGGTAAAATTACTCATTTGAG